GGGGGGGGGGGGGGGGGGGGGGGGGGGGGGGCGTGCACGTGCTGAGCGGCAGACTTGGTACGTCTCAGGTGTCGAGAGCTCGAGGCCCTCTTGAAGGCCCCCGGCCCGAGCATTTCGCAGTGCTCTTCGAGATGTTGCGACTGTTGCGATCCGGCAGCGCTAGGAGCAGGAGGCAGCCCTGGCAGAGAGCCGCAGGGAGGCCGCCCAGGCCAAGGAGGAGGCGGGCGGCCGGGCGGCCGGGCCGTGCGCTGTCGCTCGCTGTCGCTGTCGCTGTCGCGTCGGCTCAGCTTTGCTTTAATGGTTTTATCTCCAAGAGCGCATGCAGCATCATGCAGCATGGTACCTATAATTGTACCATGCACCCAGGCGGAGCATCAGCGCACAGAAATGGAAGCTTTGCAAGCCAGGCCCGTCGGAGTCAGAGTCTTCCCAGCCGATTCGCAGGGAATGACATGGTATGGCAGGTGCCAAGGCCTAGAGAAGAGTCAGGAGGAGCCGAGCTCGAAAATGCCCTGAACGTCCCTCGCCTTGCTGCTTTGCTTGCAGGTGCGAAAGGTGGGCTGGGAGCTCGTCGCCAAGAAAGACCTCGAAACGGATGCCAAGGCGCCAGGGCGGCCCCCTGCCTGCTTGAAGCCCTCTGCCTGCTCTAGCCTCTAGCTGAGGAGCCTCGGCCCGCCACCTCGCAGTCCGTGAACTCCGGGACCTTGGTCAGCCCCCGCCACAGCGAAGCTGCACAGAGCCGAGGCCGAAGTGGGAGAATTTTCCTTTGGCGCCGAGGCTTTGAGTCCGCGGCTTCCCAGGCCTCGCTGATCTACTGCTCCAGCGCCAACTCCCTCAGGCAGGTGAGAGGAGAGGGGAGACCGGGAGAGCAGAGACGCTCTCGGGGAGGTCCGTGGCCGAGTGGGTCTTCCCCTTGCAGAACCGGATCCTGCCCCCAGAGAAAACCTATGCAGGGGACCTCAACAAAATGAAAGGAGCAGGAGAGTCTGAGAGTCCTTTCTCAGCTATGGCTCGACGCCACGCTGAGGATCGGCAGCTCCTCGCCGGAGCCTCACAGCGCTCTCCGCGCACCGTCTGGCGCACCCCGCGCAGCCCCCCATTCCGAGGCCCCGAGCGATCCCAGGCGGCAGTGGCTGGAGGCGCCAGCCGTCACAGCACCGGTTCGGCGTGCCGGTAGCCGGTGCAGGAGTACATCCAAGGCTCCCTGATGTCCCACCGAGACCCGGGATGAAGATGGATGAAGTATCTCCGAGCCTGCGACGCTGCTGTGCTGCTGTGCTGCTGTGCTGCTGTGCAGCTCTAAGGAAAGATGTACGACTCGGAAGAGTGGTGCTCGCCACCACAGATCGAGATCATACGGATCTCTGAAGTCTTCAATCCCATCGTCAATAACGCAGAGGGCCATGAAATTCGAGGGGCCAAGAGAGAGACGGGACAGCAGAACGTCTGAGGCTTACTACCAGCAGCTCTCGCAGATGCAGGAGGCCGGGCGCCAGTGGAGTGGGGCTGCAAGGGGGGCGGTGTTTGGCGGCCCCCGAGGTTTGGGGAACGGATCGCCAGCCGCTGCCAGAGATGTCTCGCGCGATTCCCATACGAACGGCGTGGGACCGGAACCGGATGAACGAGGCGCAAAGTGCACGACAAGTGACCCACGTAAAGTGGCCTAGGGCCTAGGGCCTAGAGCCTGCAGGTGCTGCTCTTTCACGGATGCAAGTGGGACTCGCTCTTCGGCATCCTGCGCCTGGGCCTCGGCACACAGAAACGGCGAGCCGCCGAGCCGGCCGCAGACCGCCAAACCCCTTTAGCGCTCTTAGGTGAGGGCTTCGACCCGCGCCTGGGTGGCCACGAGCACGCTTGAGACGCCGGCAGCACACACGGGGCAGAGAGCGTGTGGCTGTGGCAGGTGGCATCAACACCGGAGCTGCCTTTGGCATCGGCTGCTACTTCACCACGGTCCCTCTATATAGAGGGCTTCGCGCAGCCGTTAGCGGTGTCGCTCCGGAGCAGCGTTCTGGCCTTTTCAGGTGGCCTCCAAGGCGGACGCCTACACCGAGCGCTGGGAGGAGTGGGAAGGCCGGGACGGCCACGGCCCGGGCACGCGGGCCAGGTCTTCTCTCTGAGCTGTGCAGACTCTCGCTGCAGGGCGGCCGAACTGTGAGATCCCGGCAGACCTGCGCCAGAGCCTCCCAGAAGTCTCGCCATGGACGCAGACTCAGACTCAGACGTTTCGCTTGTCGAGGCTGCTTGCTCGTCGCAAGGGTTGCGCTGGGCGAGGCCTTTGGGCCTTGGGGCGGGGACCGTTGACGAGCGTGCGTCGAAGTCGAAGGGCAGAGTCTATAAATTGGGGTTCAGCTTCGAGACTTGTGCCTGAGATCTCCGAGCTGCGGGACGCGGACGCCTCGCTCCGGCGGCCCCCGTGTAGCACTGCGCCATGGCGCAGCAAAAGAAGCAGAGAAGACTTCGGGGGTTTGAACGGGGGGGAAAGCTTAAAAACCGAACGCCATGCGGTTGTGGCCGGGGGGCAGAACCCATCTGCGCCTCAGAGCGCCTCTGCGCCTGCCTGCGCCTCTGCGCCTCGAGGCCGAGGTGCGCTGCGACTCCGTCCTCGGCGCCTGGCCTCGGCTCTGCTACCCCGCGCTGTGCACGCACGCACGCGGAGGATGCGCAGGCTGCAGAGCACGCCCAGCACGCCTCACGCCTCGGCGTGCTCCGAGGTGTGCCCAGAGCCCGGGGCGGCTGCGTGGACTACGACGAGTTCGTCATCTACAAGCAGGCGCGTCGCCCGTGGCAACCTTGCCATCCTAGCAGAGAGCCGTCACCCCCCTGCTGAGAATCTCTTGCCCGCACTTCGAACTATCCCTTGGCAACAGGGTTCCCCGCAACACGCGCGCCCGCACGCACGCGCCCACGCACGCACGCACGCACGCGCCCACGCACGCGCCTCGTCTCAAGCATACTTGTGGTAAGATGGAGTGCATCGTTCGAGTCGAATTCAGCTCGACTTTGCCTGTGTGTTTGCGAAGGCCCAAGCCACGCCGCGAGCCTAGAAAAGTCACATGAAGCAGACGGCACGCACCGGTGCTGCTTGCGCTCTGATCTGATCGCGAGTCGCGAGGCCTCAGTTCATCGTGGATTACAAGCACCTTGATTGCTGCACCTGCCGCAGTTGCATGCGGGAAGCCATTGCCTAGGACTTTGCAAGGGTCACTTTCGCTTTCGGGGGCTTCGGCTTCCGGCAGATCCCGGTGTTCTGGCTCTACACAAACGTGTACAGAGCCGAGCACTGTTTCACAGAGGCGAGCCGCGAAGCGACCCCTGCTACCGGTAGAAAGTGTGCCAGCATTAGCATTGCCATGGGGAGCTGCAGGCTATTGCAGGCTGATCGCATGAGTGCCGTTGCAACCCCTGCGTCGTGCGGGTTTGGGTGCCTGGGCTTGCCGCAGTCGTTTCTGCTGTGCTCTTCGCTTTGCCGCGGTGCGCCATGCGGCTCCCCTTCTGAGAGCCCGGAGCCGAGCTGCTGCTTAGTTAAGTTTAGATTTAAAATAGCTTAATGACTCTACAGCTCTATCGTATATATTCCAGTAAGTCTCTAAGAGTCTATGTTTTTCCGGGAGTCCGGAGCCGCCCCCGGAGAATTGAGAGCGAGGACTGCGCCTGGGGCCGGGTGCGATTCGGCGACTCGGCCCAAGAGCAGAGCGTCAGCCAGGAAGGAGCGCAGGATGTAGACGGCCTCTGCAATTCTAAGCGTAGACGGGCTGAGTCTGAGTCTGAGGTTTTACCGCGGCTCGCGCGCTTGTTTGCGCCCTTGGCCCCTCAGCGGCCGGGGGTCGCGGCTCGGTCGCCGCGGCGGATCTCTGGAGGGCGGCCCTTGGATTCTCCGCCGATGGGCTGCGCACAGGGCGTCGTGTCCAATCCGGTCCGGCGCCCAGAGCCGCCAGCCTTCGGCGCGACTTCGACTAGCGGACTAGCGCCCCCCCATATGAAAACTTAAATGCAGCCTTTTTTTGCTGGCCAGGTACAGCCCGCGGCCATGGAACCCAACAAGCCCATCGAGCCTGTGCATCAACATTCGGAGACCTCCTTGCCCGGAGACCCGGAGAGACATGAGGCAGCGCGCCGGCGCGCGAGCGCGGGCGGCCATGTGGCCATTGTGGCTGAGGTCGCAGCCGTCGGGCAGCTTGAAGCAGTCCTCGACTCCTCTCGAACGAAAGGTGAGTCGGGGTCTCAGCGCGAGCGCGGGCGCACAGCGAGGGTGTTTTGGGGGAGCAAGGGGAGCAAGGCAGTCGGGCTGAGGCAGCGATGGCTCGCCGATTGTCATGGGGAAGTACAAGATGAGCATGACCAAGCAGGACGAAGAGAGAGGGGGAGAGACTCCGTGGGGACCCGGGAGGCCCGCGAAAGCCCGCGGGGGCCCGCAAAGAGGACCTGATGGGCGAAGGGACCTCGAGCATCTGCCGAAAAGGCGTCTGCATGGAGCCTCCCGGCCTTTGTTCTGAGAGAAGGGAGAGAGTGTTGAAGGGGAGAGAGCCGAGAGAGCGAGAGAGAAGAGGCTCAGAAGGGGTTAGATGGATTGAGGCCAATCAAGCCGTATGCGCGATCCCACACTTCATAGTTCCTGTCAAGACGTTGGACAATGCGCATCATTTCTTTCCGCAGACTGTCTTGCATAGATGTGACGCGAAGCGCATCTGAGCCGGAATCCATCTGAATGATCTTGGGGTCAGGAAGAATACAACTGAGTCAGCCTGAGTTGAACTTGCAGCGGCCGTGAAGGAGTGATAAAAAGAATTGAACCCATCGTCTGCACGGTAGTTTCGGCTGATACACTTGCTGCTCCTGTTGCCATTGTTTGGGCTCTGTGTTTGTTGCGCTATGTGCGGTGTGGTCCTTTTCTGTTGGGGGATCGACCTGATGTCTGGCCTTGCTGGTGGTGTCGATGGCGTCCCTCTCTGGTGTTTTCCATCTGTTCCTGGACATGGCTTTCTTTGAGGTTGAGACCCGCTTTTCGTTCCATCCACGCTTTCACAACCACACTCTTCTGATCGTTCCGCTAATACGAGTTTGTTCAAACGGTTTCGACCCACATGTTCCCACTGCTTTGTTTCGAAGCCGAGCGAGAGAGAGAGAGAGAGAGAGAGAGAGAGAGCTGTTGTTTGCCTCTTGTCCAAGGGGGGACCCCTAGCAGACGATTTCCAGTAGCATGGGAAAAACCCACTCGAAGGATGAGACGTTCTTCTTGGGACTACTCTGGTTATATTTCCATCGTCTTGATGTTATCGCCCTGTATCATCCTCGAGTTGCCTTGGTGGTGAAAGCGCCATCTGCTAAGCCTCTCCGCAACAAGCGGGGGCGCTGACGCGCGCGGGTGAGGGGCGCTGTCCCTTCTCCCTCAACCCTTGAGAAAGAAAGAGAGGGATCCGCCCATCATGACATGGGCTCCAAAGAGCGATGCAGTCACCAAGCCTCTCAGACGTTTAGTGTATAGTTGTGGTTCTGGCTGCTTGGTTGATGTGTGAGCTAGACATGGCTCTTCGACAGAAACTGCCAAACGATAATGGGCTGAGCTGAAGAGGGCAGCAACCTGTTATTGTACAAGTCTTCTGCATTGCTGCGGTCCACTGTGCGTGTTGGTGTTGCTTCCCTGGTGAAATGCCCAACCAGCACTGATCAGCCACGTCATTGAACAGGGGAGACTCCCTCGAAAACCCTGTTGTGGCCCCAGGGATACTGTTTGAACCACTTCACGACTCGCATGGGCTCGGCTAAAAAGAGGGGGAATCTTCTTCTTCTAAAAATAGTCCTTGCTGAACTTGTGAGAGACGCCAAAACGCCCAGCTGCTCTCGACTTTCCTGCGCTCTCTTTCAGTGACTTTTTTTCGCTGCTCTGCCACTGGGCCCCTCTAACCCATCACACAGGCTCACTGGCTGCAACTCAAGGGCAATGGCCCCTGATGGCACTTCCTATCATGCTAGTGCATTGCTTTCAGTGTTGCAACCGCCGAGTGAGTGAAGGCTATGCCTTTGAGTCGACGCGGGGGAAAACCCCGCGCGCGCTCGAGTCATCGCACAAACCCATATTTATCTGGGAGATTCTTGTTGCTAGTGGTATGCCGTTGTGATGCTACTCACGTCCTTTTGGTGCGATGACTGCCTCCGTTGAGTTTGCCTGGCACCCGCAAAAGGCGGGGCGCTCTCGCGCGCGCGGTGGGGAGGCAACTCCCCACCACAGCCCTGGCGAAAGAAAGAAAGAGAGAGAGAGAGAGAGAGAAAGAAAGAAAGAGTTGTCACCACAGCTCTGGCGAAAGAAGAAACTTGTTCCAGAATGTGTTTGTCTTGTTTGGGCATGTGCACGGTGCCAGTACAGAGCCCGGGAAAGCAGCACAGAAAAAGCACGGTTGCCCTCAATACGAGGGGATGAGGAGGCCCAAGGCGCGGGGCCTTTAAGTGGCCAGTACAGAGCCAAGCCGTACCTCATGTCGTGTATTTCACACTCGCTAGCAAGACCAGGGCGCATACGTGCGCAGGGGCAGGGGTGACCTCCTCTTTGGCTGAGTTGAGGAAGAGAGAGAGAGAGAGGGAGAGAGAGAGAGAGAGAGACTTTTCAACTGAGGACCGGCACCGAAGTGGCCATCAAAGTCTACAAGGCGCCTATGTTCGGAGTAGGCTTCAAATTCAAGCCTCGATGGCCTCAGTGAGGGCTCCTGGAGGAACAAGCTTTTCCCTTCTGATTCGCTCTCCCTCTCAGCCTGCCTCTCTCTCTCTCCTTCGCAGCAAGCCCAAGCCACGGCGGCATGGTCTTGCGAGGCTTTGAAGGAGACCCACAAGGGCGAGGACGTGCGCCTGCAGAAGTTCCGCAGGCGGGCCCATACCCATAGCGAGCGGCGAAGCGCGAGGCAAAGCCTAGCCAAGCAAATTGCGCTTTGAGTCGCAGAGAACTCCATACTGGGCCTGTTAAGCGCTCTTGGAGGCCTTTGTGTTTTGGCGCGCAGAATGCATCTCTCAGGCAGATCAGCGTCCTGAAGATGTTGCAGGAGCCCTTCGGCACCGTGCCCGAACCTTACTAACGAAGCTGCGTTGCACGCCGCTGTCTTTGCACCTCGGCTTGTCTTCAGGTCGGACGAGACACTCTGGCACCCGCAGCTCGCAGCGGTCAGTGGCACAGAAGCCGAGCGAGAGTCGGGGAGTCTCTGCCTGCCCGACGTTGCAGACGAAGCCTTCCAAGCTCTTCATGTCGCTTCTGGACTACAGCAAGGACAAGAGTCGGGCGCCCGGTAAGCCCACTTCAGACTCCAAGAGAAAGAAGACCCTGAGGAATGGAACCCTGTTACAAAGAGGGACGTCTGCGTGAAGAGAATTAGAGGCCTTGAGGCCTGACAGGTTTTGGGGGGCCCCCTACTGCCGACTCCTCTATCGGAGTCGAGGCCCGGTGAAGGCCCTCCTGCGCCTCACAGGTGTCGGTTTAAATCTTTAGGTTCTTCACGTCGCCCCCCGCTCACCCCACCGACGCGCACGGCCTCTCCGTTTTTGTTGAGGTGGAACTCCAGCTCCGGATCCGACAGCCGCTTGGCAGAAGGGAAGGGCCCCGAAAGGGCCCTGCGCGGGGGGCCGAAAGGCCGGGAACCGCAGTCGCAGTCGCAGTCGCCGCAGCAGAGGACGGGGTGATGTACGTGATCACCGAGCTGGCTCAGTCAGAAACTCTGTTTGTGGGAATGCTGCTGCTGTTCTGAGCCTGTTGCTGTGCTTGGGCAGAAGAGGGCAGCGGAGGCTGTCCAAAGAGCAAACCCCGGGAAGGAACCACCTCACCAACTCACCGCTGGCGGGTAAAGCACCACATGCACTCCAAGGGTGCCCGAAACGGGAGCCAAAGAGTCTAAGAGGACGCCAGCTCGAGTCCGGCGCCCTGGCCCCTGGCCTGCTGGCCGGAGCACACACTTGTGGTCAGGAAGGCAGTTAAGGTCAGGACACACACAAGAGAACGCACACAAAAGCTACTGAAGAGCCGGCGGGGGGGTGGCCGGTGGCTCCGCTGCGTGAGCTTTGGCGGGACTCCAGAGCTCCCCCTCCGCGAGCCGGGGCACGGGCAGCCTGAGACTCCCATGCAGAGAGGCTGTGCCAGCGCTGCCTCATAAGGTCTTCCGGGCTGGGAGACGATCCTGCGAAGGCAAAAAACGACGAAAGCGGATCCGACAGTCCGCCGCAAGCGCTCAAGGACAAGCACCGTCCCCGGAGGTCCCGTCCTCCCTCCAACTGTCATACGGAGGCGTTGCCAAGAGAAACTGTGCGACCGCAAGAAAGCGGTCGCAAGCAATGCAGCAAGACCAGATCCTGCTGGGCGTAATTAGGTGTCTTTCTATTTCGATTACGGCTGCGTGCCTAGTGCCTAGTCACTCGTCCTGCCTGACTGTTGAAACTGGCGAAGACGATTCCCCTTTTTTGTGCACGTCACGTTCTCTCGATCACCGGCGAAGTCCACAAAAAAAACAAAAGCAGCCCCCGGGCACACGCACTCCGCCAAGACGCTCACAGCTGATGCAAAGCGAGAGAAGTGAGACGCACGGGCCGCACGGGAGGCTCTGAGACTCTCTTGCCGTTTTTTCGCGTCGCGGGTCGCGTCCGTTGCCAGGTACAGCTTGAAGGACTATTTGGCACTGCGGAGAGACCAGGGCAAGAGCCTCTCGTCGGGGGACCCGGAGCAGCCGCAGCGGCCGCAGCAGCGGCCCCCACGCTCAATCTCAGCTGGCTGGTGCTTTGAGGCGAGGAGCGGTGAAGAACATCAGCAAGGCGCGGACGAAGCGGCGGCGGCGCTTGCGCATCGCCATCGCTGTCTTTCGCACCGCACACTTTTCACTCTTCCCTTCCGACGTATTCGACGTCAGAGGCGATCATCCTCGTCGTCGCGGGTCTACATGCCAAAGGGTCCGGGCCGCTGGCGCCAGCTGCCGGGGCGGTCCGCGCGGGAAGGTGGACGCGTACTCTCGCCCCTCTCTTTCCCCCCTGTCTTTGAGGCTTGTGCACCTCGACCTGAAGCCAGAGAATTTGATGATGTTCAATGGCCCAGAACCCAGAAGAAAACAGAGCAAAACAGGAAAGAAAGCCTAGTGCACAGGGTTTCCGCGTGAGGCCGGCTGAAGCTCATCGACGTCGACGGGTGCGTCCCCTGCGGCAGCGAGGTCTCCATCCAGGCCTCAGGGCCGAGGGCTGCCGCAGGGCTGCCGAGACGCGGCCGCACTGCACTCACTGCCGCATCCCGCAGAGGACTCCTCCATCTCCTTTTCGCCATGCTACTGTGCGCCCGAGTGGGCTCGGGCTCCCCGGAGATCTCTCTCTCTCTGAGTCTCCGGCCGTTCTCATTCTCACTCGCATCTCACGCCTCTCATCCTCTCTCTTCCTCTCTCTTCCTCCCTTCCTCTCTTCTCATCTGACCCGCGGGAATTTCGGAGAGTTCGCCTCGCAGCCTCCGAGGCCCGGTTCCTCATCGAGGAGACGGAGCTCGGGCCTCGGCTTTGAGCGGAGAGCGGCTTTGCGGAGCGGGCCGCCGCGCCTCTCTTCTCTTCCCTCCTGCTCCTCCGCTCCTTCCCTTCTGCCAGGTCCAAGATCACGGTGAGGCCGCACTTGGACGCCCGGAGCCCGGGCAGCTCCGAGCTCCCTTCCCCGCAGGCAGCCCGCAGCATTGCAGCCCGGCAGCCCGCAGGTCTGGAGCGTGGGGATGACCATCTGCGAGCTGGCCACCTTGGACGCACGCCCGCTCAGTCAGACGGAATGGGCCACTCCCCTCGCTGCCCCTCTGCCGCAGCTCCGCAGCTCTGCCTGCCATCGCTCCGAGGCCGTGCTGAAGCCCATGTACGCCAACTTCTTGCGGAACGGCCACTCCCACCGAGAGGCGCCGGAAGCACCCGCACGGTGCAGGGGGCAAAGAAGGTGGAACTGGAGTTCCTGAGGCTGGATTCTTGTTCATGGACTGGCTTGGCTCCATCGCCAAGGCGGGACACCGAGAGGGCGTGAAGACTCTGCGAGATATGACCATCCTCCGACCTCCGACTCTCTCGCAGAGTGTCAGAGACACGACCCCACACGACCCCAAGTTCAAGTTCAAGCTCTGACGCTTATTGGAAGACGGAAGTTGGCCAAAGTTCAGAGTTGAGGCACCCATTCCCAAGAGTATTGAGCGGTCGAGTCCTCGGAACAGATGTGTTGCCAGGCGCGTTGCAGCGCAGACTTCGCAAGCTGTGTTTGCTCTTCAGCTTTTGAGGTTCGATCCAGCCTTCCATCAGATGTTGATCGGCTCTCTGCTGGTGTGCGATCACACCAAGAGGCATCTCCCTCTCCCTCTCCCTTCTCTCGTCGGATCGCGGATTGCACTCAGCCGAGCGCCCAGCCGAGGAAGACCTTGGCCCAGTGTCTGTCGGACAGCTACTTGGAGTCCGACAAGGAGAAGGCGCGCCTTGACCGCCTTGACCGCCTTGCCCGCCTTGCCGCAGCGTGGCTTTGTGCTGCCGTGCATGCGCCCTTAAGTTGATAGCGGCTCTGCTCGCGGCCCGCGGCCTGTGCAGGTGGCCAAGGACGCGTCGGCCGTGGAGCACAGCCATTCGGAGCGGCCGAGAGATTGGGAAATTGGGATGCACACCGGATTCTCTCCCTCCCTCCTCCCCTCCTCTCCTCCTCTCCTGGTCTCTCCCTCCTCTTCCCCTTAGCTTTAGCCGGCAGCGGAGTCTCACTTCGCGGCGCAGGAGGCGCCGCCGCTGCCGGTGCACGAGAAGGTGGACCGCACCACGCGGAACCGGATCGAGGACACCTCCAGCAAGGCCCGGCTTGGGCTGGGGGCTGGGCGGAGCATGCGGAGTGCCTTGGCTGGCAGAGTCTCTGAGAGGCGCCCCTCTACAAGGGCACCTTGTGGAAGCTGAACACCGACGGCAATCCGCAGGAGCAGAGAACCACAGGGCGCGAAAGAGAAGCCACTCCGCGACTCTGCGTGTCTTGCCGCTCCGCGCTCCGCTCTGAGCCGCTCCGCAGGACCCAACCCATTGGCTGAAGCGCGACATGTGGGCCGCGGCCTCGAAAGGAAATTGCGCATCTTTTGCTTTTCCTATAGTTTTTCTTACGAGTAAACTCACTTAACCCTTTTTCCTGCGGACCCCCACCTCTAATTCACCTGCCCCACTTAGCCCCAACCAAACCGGCAGTCAGGCTTTGCGTAAGAGGAGGGAACGAGCTGATTCAGACAGGCATGCACAGGCATGCGCGTGTACTTGAGGCCCAAAGCCTAAGCAGAAGACTCTCTTGCTTCGGGTGGCTGTTACTTCAATTCCCTACTCGCAATCCCCTCGACAGCCTTACATCACGCGCTATATGCCGGCGATGCTCAAGTGAGCAGATACATGTCTTATGAGGCCTTAACAACTTAACAGCCTCAGTGTTTGACTAAACACCCTGGGATGTCGGTCCGCTCCCTTGGCCGAATGGACCTCACGCCGACAGCGGAAAAGCGGAAGCCACAGGTACCCGTACTAAGCCGTACTAGTACCCGCGAGAATGAGGTTTTGCTTCGCTTCGGCAGTCGCTCTACTACAAAAGCCCAAAGCGGAGTGAATGCTCATCAGGACGACATACCCGAGGCAAGACGGAAACCGTAAGGAATCCAGCAGAAATCCAAGATGAAAACCTTAATCAGTGAATACCCAAGACGATGACCCTAAGAAGTCAATACCCAAGGCGGTAGTCCCAAGGATTGAAACCTTAACCCGAGACGAAAACCTATAAGGAGTGAATCCAGCAGGAACCTTTTCCCAAAGACGAAAACCCTAAGGCCTGAATCCAGCAGGAGCCTTTTCCCGAAGACGAGAGAATCCTGCAGGAAACCCTAACCCGAAGCGGAAACCCTGAAAGAAGTGAATCCAGCAGGAACCTTTTCCCGAAGACGAAAACCCTATGGAGAAGAATTCGTACGCCATAAAAACTAGTGGCTTGGTGCTAAAGACACCAAAAGTTTTAACTAAGATGCCTGTTGCAACCTTCTGCACAGATTTGCTGTTTTGGGAGCCCAAAAAAGGTACCACTGAGTCATGTTGAAAAGCTACATGTAAGAGAAGAAAGTTAGAACTAAGTGCACTATACCGGAGGCGAATGCGGCTAAGGTCTAAAGAGCAGGGTTCTTGGTCTCAGAGGCAGGGAAGAGGGCGGCGGAAGGCCCCAATAAGGCTTCAACAGGATTGCAACCGCGCGCGAGACGGTGCGCATCACGGATGCGAGTGCGGATGCGCCGAGAGTGCAGGGGACCGACTCTTGTCTCGCGCAGCGCAGCTGGCGGCTGCTAGCGCAGCGCTGCGACGCGCCAGCGCGCCGTCCTCTCTCTCCAAAGGTGGCCTTCAATGGCTCCCTGTGTTACTTCAGCATCAAGGAGAACAAGCGTCGGATCCTCCGAGGGCCAAGCACGGCGTGCGGCTGCTATGCTTCGACTCGAAATCCCCCGAGGCTTGGTCCTCGTGGATGGATCGAAGCTTACCGGCGCCAAGGCCGGCCTTTTTTCGGAAGCCCTCCCTACCTACACACCCTCCCCACACCCGCCCGGAGGGCCCCCTCCGCCACAGGTGACCCCGCTCGTCGGCGCGGCGCGCGAGTACGCCTTCAGGCCCCGCCGGCAGAGATGCTTTTTCCATGCGTGCAATGCTGCCTTCAAAGTTCCAAATCCCAAAGTCCTTGTGCGCAAAAAGATGGAAAGGTTGCAGTGCTACACCCACGACGAGCATGAGAAGGTGGGCGGGCTGGGAGCTAGTCAGGTAGTGAGTTCGGGAGTTTCGGAAGTTCTTGAGGACGTGAACATGTGCTTCTCTGCGGAGTCTCCTGAAGAGCTCGGAGCTCAGCCGGCAAAGTTGAGGAGACGCGCCAGACGTGACTGACGTGACGCGCCAGACGTAGACGGTTTGCGGTCTGTTCCGCGTTGACGGCAGGTACACGAAGTGGACAGGGCTTCTGATGCACACCGCTAACATGGACGGCCCATCGACCCAGAAGCGGTGGATCGCTTGCAGGTTGCAAATGCTCTTTTCGAATGCGAGGTGCGATCCAGACCATGCGCCTGGGCGGGGACGTCGCTGCCGAGATCAAGCAGTTCAGGCGAGCTCGAATACGAGAAGCATGTGGAGCATGTGGTTATCATGTGGCTGCTGCATGCTGCTGCATTCTCCTGAGGCTAAATGTGAAGAATCGTCGAATGAAGGTCGGCGAGGACAAGAAGGATCAGCAGCTCCACTGAAGAGAGTCTGACAGTGGCGAGTCCGACAGAATCGCAGTTGAGGGAAGAGAGGAGTCCGACAGAGCCTTGAGTCAGTCCGACAGAGACCGAGAGCTGAGGTTCGCCCCGGTCTTCAAAGCGAAGCTTTGGAAGGTCAAGGCCGGTGTGCCGAGGGTGCGAGGGGAAGGAGGGCAGAGGGGCAGAGGGGGAAGGGCCGCAGCGGCCCAGCCCGGTGGTTGCAGGCGGAGGGCGACCGACGGAAGGAGGAAGATTGGTGCCGCAGCCCAGTGCCATCTCTCGTGGTTAAAGGCGCCGAGCCGGAGAGTTTCGGGCTCTTTCGCTGAGGTTCGAGCGCGAGATGTGGATTGCGAAGAACGGCAGTCTCGTCTATTGGAGCAAGAAGGAGGCGAGAAATCGTGAGAAAACCGGGGAGGCTGCCGCTTGCTCTTGCTCTTGCTCTTCGTCTGCGCTTGCTTGCAGGATCGCGACCTGGTCTACTACACCTCCGAAGCTCGGCAGGAGAGTCAGCCGAAGCGCCGGCGCCAGGGGAGGGTTTTTTCTCGGGGCGGGCGCACGGCGGCGGCTCGTTCTGCTCGGCTCAGCGGCCGTGTCGAGACATCGGTCCATGACAGTGGCAGAAGGAGACCTTCGGACTTGCTGGGGTGCCGAGGGATCAAGCGGGAAACATCGAAGCCTCCGAAGCCTCATGACTGACTCCACAACTCGCTGTCGAAGCCCGGCCCGGTGCCTGCAAATGTTCTCAGGCCTGGCAGAAGCCTTTGCCCAAAGCCCGAAGGGGGAGGAGCACTGCGGTGCTCAGTGCGCAGCTTCGAGCCGGCAAGTCGGCGACGAGTCGGCGAGTCAGCGGCGCAGAGGCGTCAGAGAGTCGGCCCAAAACAAAAGGGCCCACGGCCACGGCCACGGCCAAACCCCCGGCCTTCTCTGTGCAGGCTTGCGACGCTTTCTGCTCAGGATGATATCGCACGCGCGACCATCGCGCTGATCCCCAACGACGATAGCTTCATCCCCTGGGCTTTCCAGGCTTTGAAAAGGGAGGGGAAGGGAGGCTCTGTGCAGCCTGTGCTGCAGCCTGTGCAGCTCGAGGTCCACCTTCCCCCGATTGGAGAGGTGGAGTTCACACCCGGCGAGTTTGCCGCCGAATCCGAGGCAGGGTCAGAGCTGCGCTGCAGAGAAGCGCTGCGAGCTGAGCCTTGAGCCTGAGGCGATGCGGGACTGTTGGATCGAGGAGTTGGTTTCTGAGAGAAAAAGCGCAGACATGCGCAGACTGAGCCCCCCCGCTCCCCCCCGCTCCCCGCCCCCGCGTGCGATTCCTGAGGCTGAAGGAAAGGGTGGCTGATCCAAGATGACGGAAAAATCGTGCCTCGCCTCGTCGGCCTCGTCTCTCATGACTCTGACACTGGAAGCATCTTAAGTGCCGCTGTTTTTTGCAGGTGACCAAAGAGCAGGAAGCCCTGCAATCTGATAAATCTTCTCCACTGAGAGTCTGAGCGGCACACCCAAAAGACCGGTGCGTGCCAAAAGGCCCTCTGCGCCTCTCTCTCTGTCTCACCGAGCGGGGCTCCAGTCGGCTCCCCTCAAGGCTAAGCAAGATGAATCGACCCCGACACAGACGAGACGGATCTACGGACGCGGGGGAAAAGCGCTCGAGCCCAGCTCGCACGGCGGCTTGCACTCGCCACGGCGAAGGTCACATAGCCCTTTTTCAAATAAGGCTGTGGCAAAAAGAAGCCCTTACTGTAGGGCCTCAAGGCGAGCGCTGCGACTCACGCCCCGTGTCAAAACGCCGTAGTTGGTCACGGACTTCACCAGACCTCGCCAAGAAAAAGCTGCGCCGATGTGCCACATGAAAAGACGGGCGAAGGGATGGGGTTCACCCCGAACCGAGCTTGCAGAGGACTCCCACAGACCAAGACACAGCTTTCAAGGCTTGGACATCTCGTAGAGGCTCTTTGCTCTCTTCGTTGAAACGTTCCCCTCTTTAAGCATGACTGCGCAGCACCGCACCGGGACATAGGAGGGGCCCCAGTAGAGCTGTCGTGTGACTCTTTTCACTGCCGCTGCTGCCGCTGCCTGCACCGGCCCGGCTCAGAGTGGAGAGCTCTCTCAGACGCAGCTACAAGAGCCAGAGCACGACAGAGCAAGCACGCTTTTATCTCGAGCCTTCGCGCGATTTACGTCAGACGATACAGCCAATTCCCAAAGATCGGACTCGATAGAGAGTGGCTCAGAGGCACATCTCAGTGAGGTTAACCTGTGGGTCGCCGCCTCAGCGCTCGGCAGCCGTCGCAGCCTGCGCCCACGGAGTCACGGCGTCTCCGATCGCTCGTTCTGTGTTTGAGGCTGGCCGCTTCGCGTGCGCCCACGGCAAAGAGGACTCCGAGAGCACTCCCAGCGCGAGCGCCTTGCCGAGTGCCTTGCCGAGCCGCAGAGGATGCTGGGAATTTTCAAGGAAGATCCGGAGCTGCGGGTGCACGCCGCGAGCCTAAAAAATGCCGTTGCGGCAGTGTTGCGCTCGCTGTTTGTTGCACTTTGTCGTGAAATCCTGCGAAGGAATCACAGATTATGCACCGCGTCAACGCCTTCCGCGGCTGGAAGGAACAGCAGTCGCCTGAGACGGAGCCAGCCCAGCCGCAGAGCCGCAGCCCGGGGGCACCGGTGCGGACTTTCTGACTCAGGTTTCGAAAGACTGAAGGAGGTATCGAGGCCTTCGCAGAAGGATACAAGATCTTCGGTTTCCAGAGGCCGGGGGGGGGGGGGGGGGCCGGATCGCCGCCCGCCGAGCCGAGCCTTCTTTTCTCTTAACAGCCTCCTTCCGAAGACCTGCAATCATCAACAAACTGCCGCCAATCGGCCGCGGGGTGCTGCGCGGGATGCTCAGTAACTGCGTGCCAGCGCTTGCTTGTAACACTGCGCGCGCGCGGGCGGCTGCTGTGTTCCTCTCTTGAAGAGGGGCAGGGCTGCTTTGCGCGCGCGCCAATGCGCACGAGCGCAGCGGCGGAGCTGGCACTGGCACTGGCGGTGATGCCGATGCCTTCGCGCGCGCGCGCGCGAGAGTCTGCTTGAAAGAAAAGAAGAAGAAGGAGAGAAGGAGACGGAGACGCTCCCTCTGCAAGCTTGCAAGGGGGGGGGGGAGGCCGGGAGGCCTGCTGAAGGAAGGAGCTCAGAGTAGAAAGGAGCGAGGGTTTTCCTCGATGAAGCTTATACACAGGTAGAAGAAGTTTAATGTAAGGCATTATAATCCAAGGCGGTGAGTGTCAGTGTGTGGGGTCTGTCTCAGACGCCAGGCACGAGGCCGAGAAGAAGTGGAGCTTCAACGAATGGCTGCCAGCAGCAAGGAAAGTTTTCCTCGTAGGAGAATTCAATGCTTGGGAGCCTTGGCCGATATGGCAGACGAAGCATCTCTTCGATCGGAGATGTCGGCGATGTCGGAATTTAGAAAGGTTTGTACATGTTGTGCTGCAGTGCTTCTTGTTTTGCCACCAAGGAGAAGACGTATCCCATGACACGTTGCCGGATGCTCGGATCGGGGGGGGGGGCCCACGCCCTGTTGTGCGCAGGGCCCGCGGGGCCCGCGGAGGCGAATACGGTCGCTGGACGATTGACTTGCCTGATCATGAAGATGGTCGCTGGCTCGTACCTCACAGGCGTTTGCAGAGCCCCCCCGCATCCCCCCGCATTCAGCGAAGGGTAAAAAAATGGCACTCGAGAAAGAGACGTCGCAGATCGAGCGGAGTGAGGGCCTTCGAGAGTCCCCGTCGTGGCAGGTCCCAGATCCGTCCGGAGCTCAGCTACGGGTTCTCTGCAGAATGAGAAGGGCCCCAAAGAAACCACAGCAGCCCATGCCATGTGCCATGGGCCTCGCCCTCGGCTGCGTGAGGATTGCGAATCGAGTCGGAGTCGGGGACCTTCGACCGGGTGCCGGCGTGGACGAAGTTCGCCGAGGAGCCGGCGGCTGCACTCAGCGCCAGTGCCCTCTTCGCGACCTCTTTCTCTGCTCTGCTCTGCTCTCCGCGTTTCGACTGCGGTGACCGCCCTTCGGAGAGGACACGGCCTTGCACGTCTACAACGCCGTGATGTGGGAGCCGCCGCCGGCGGAGCGCTACATCATGCGCCACGCGAGGCGCGGGGGGGCAGCGCGGGGCGGTTTGTTCTTGTTCTGCGCGGAGAGTCTGAGTCTGCGCAGGCCGAGGAGACCGAAGACGCTGAAGATCTACGAGGCACACGTGGGCACTGCTGGCGAAGACGCCAAGGCTCCCCACACGCCGGCGCCTGAGAGAGAAACTCCGCTAAGCCCTAGAAGCTCTGCACGGCACAGCACAGCCCTGCTGCCGCTTTGGCAGGTACTTGGAGTTCAAGGCCGCTCTCGCACGGCCCGCACGGTGCCCGCACGTCACATCGAAGTTTCAAGTCTCGGCTCGGCTGCGCTAAGTCGCTCCTCGGTCTCACTGAACAGCGGTGCTTGGGGACCGCGGAATTGTCGGTTGTACCGTGGGGGTCTTTTTTTGGGGGACCGGGCGCCGTTTGTGTGGGGACGCGTGGCTCGGGGGACGTGTACTTGACGGCCAAGAAGCGAAAGCGGAGCAAGCGGAGCCTGAAGATGGCCGAAGCCACGGATTTCACCCTCGTGACGCGAACAAGCCGGGAAGATGGCAGTGACAGAGACTTCGGCATCCAAACAGGACCTGAGATTCTCATTCTTCGTAGGTCCTGTCCTGTGGGGCCAGGTCGTGCCAGGTCGTGACGCTTGGAGCCTAAGTCCCGAAGCACCTATAAATGCAGCTGGGGTGCAGGTGTAAACGCTTCGCATGGCTGCGCCAACGGGGCAGGCCGAGGGATGAGAATCAAGGCTTCAGCGAGCTGCGCACTGACATGCCGCACACACATTGACATGAAATCCACCACGAAGGCGGCTGCAGCTTTGCTGCCGAGAATCCACACATGGCCGATGAAAACTGCGCCGAAATCCAAAAGCCAAAAAGCGAGTCCCCTTTTTGAAGCATCTATCTCGGAACAGTCTGGGCAATGCGGATACTCGAGAGGGAGGAAGGCCATGCTGCGCACCTCAAGTTCTCCATCCGTTCGAAGCGAGGGCCTGTGTCACTGTGTTGGACGGAGGCGGAGGAGATGTGCTCCGAAAGAAGGGCTGGAGCACGGAATCTCCAAACAGTTGAGCACGGTACAAGGATCATGCGACTCCGGATGGCTGTGCTTGCCACGGCATTCGATCTTTCTTGCAGTGCTCTATGCACTTTGAGTTGCAGTGCAGAAATTGTGGCTCCGGTACCATGTTCGCTGCCATGCCGTGAAGAGCTGGACCATGTCGAAACCTTTTGCGGCCGCGCATGCCAGCTCGGCTCTGCCAGCAAGAGTCCGAAAGCTGAAACCGACCCCGCCGAAACCTTTTCCTGTAAGGCCCGAGTCTCGTTTTGCGCACTTATGGTGTGTGGAAAACACAGCGCGCGAATTGTTTAAGCATTCTGGAGTCGCTTCTGATCCCGCGAGTCGCGATCACGTGCCGGGCTTGCCGTGAATCCAGATAAGGTATCTTTCAAGCGGGTCCTATTAAGGGGGTCTTGCCAGGCAGTGCTTCCCAAGATCAAGAGCTTGGGCTACAACACGGTGCAGGCAGGGCAAGCAGGGAGAGCGGAAGATCTCAGCCGCAGCCCGCAGCGGCTCGGCCTCTTTTTCTTTTGTCAGTTCCTGGCCGTGGCGGAGCATTCGGACTATGCCTCCGCGGGCCCGGGCCCCCCGGGCCCCTGCGCTTTTGATGGGAAGCGGAAGCGGCCGTGCTTGCGGTGCTTGCGGAGAGCCGAGGCCGGCAGGTGACCAGCTTCTTCGCCCCCAGCAGCCGCTTCGGAACGCCCGAAGAGTTCAAGGCACAGTGACGCACAGCCCGCAATTCGCCTTGCCTTGGATTCGTGGCAGTTCGCCTCCTTTTCCTTCTGCTCCGGCGGGTTCGTGAAAAGGAGCTCGTGGACACGGCGCACGCCCACGGCCTCACGGTGCTGATGAGCTTGGTGCATTGCCAGCTCTCCCCGCACGAGTGCCGGCACTCGGAAAGGCTGAAAAACCCTTCCCTTCGAAGCTTGCATCCCGCGATTCTGCTATAAGGCTGGACGGCATCGCGTCCATGGACGGAACAGACTGCTACAGGCCAAAAGTGCACATCGCGTCTGCAAGCGAAAACCTGCACCGGCCCGAGGCACGCTGGCAGCAAGGGCTGGCAGGCTCGACTGCCTTGTTTCTTCGCTTTCAATCACTGCTGCATTCCGTCACGCCAAAATCCTAGCTTGTCCATCGTATCCATATCAGTGCGTTGATCAATCCATAAATACATCCTGCGAAAGTACACTGGTACAGAATGCGCACCAAACTACCCCTAAAGTAATCCGTGCACAAGCTCATTCAGCTGAGACACCAAAGTCAGCCCTGAACTTCCACAGCACCTTTCTCTGCAGGGGCAAAGTGTCTTGAGCCACGAATGTGGCAAAGTCGGGGAGAATATGGGCCGTGATATTTCAACACGCCTCCTCGAGACTAAAGTTGTTTACTTGATTCTCGCAAAGTATACACGTCTATACATATGTGAGGCTCACGCGAAAAGTTTTGCGCAGCCGGCTGGGCAAAGTTGCAACAACGTCCCACATCTACAATGTCAAAAGTGATTTGCAAACCTCGGAGAAATCCTGGACGCAGACAGCATCCAAAGTTGCGTCCCACAAAAGTTCGTGGCGCACGTGATGTCGGTCCATTTAAGTGCAGCGACAAAGTTGCCATCGTTGTGCCCACAAGTATCGTGTGCTTCCATGGCACAGCAAAGTGCAGCATGGTGTCGGCACAGTGAAGTGCAGCGACCTACAAAGTTGCCAAAGCCCATGGCAACGTAGGGCCCAACCCAAAAGGGCGACAAGTGGCCACTTTAAAGCCGCGCAGGTCGAGTCAAAGTCGACGGTGTCGCACCAGAAAGTGGGACCCAGCCTTCCGGTAACTCGTGGGAATGTCGATACACCTCAGGAAGCACAGGAAGGTGCATCAACCGAAAGTGGCGGCATGCTGGATCATCAAACTATCGGTTGAGATCCGATACAAGTTGATATGGCTGCTGAAAGTGCCGAATACAGATAAAAGTAGGCCACGTCAGAGCTCATTGGCAGTTCCAAAGTCTCCGTCCTGATCAGAAAGTCGACATAACGTCGATTCCACATCTTGACACGCCCAGAGCCAAAGTAAAGTGCCAGCCACTGTTGTGTTGGCCTAAAGCCAAAAGTGCAGATCTCAGCATCTGCAGGAAAGTGTACTGCACACCTTTGGCTTGCATATTGCTGAGCTGAAAAGTAAAGAACAGATTTTCGAGCCTGTCGGGTCCCACGGGCGAGCAGTGACCGACTGCACAAGTGCCAAGTCAGCCTGCCGGGAGGGCGGGTGGCGCTTAGCACTCCGGGTCTTAAAGACGCCGGTGCCGTCAGCAACAGTGCTGATCTGACTCTGTGTCCTTGCCCAGCCAGACTCCAGGCACAAAAGCTGCACGACGCTTCACCGGGTGAGGCTTCCGGAAAAGCACAGTCTCACCAAAGCGACAAAGAAAGCCGGAGTTTCTTCCAACGTCGCTCAAAAGACGTCGTTCCCTCGGAGTTGCAAAGGTAACGGTTCACAAGCCACTGCGCATGACG